TTTTGTTGTCTGTATCAGTAGCACATCTCAAAATAAATTTCAATAGATTAAGGTCATAAAGACTATGTTCTCTGACCTTAGTAAAATTAAGCTAAAAAATTAATAACAAAAGGGTAACTCGATAATCTTCAACTATTGAAAATTAACCAATACATTTCTAAATAACTCACAAACAAAGGGAAAAATAAGCAAAATGAGAAGTATTTTGAGCTGGATGAGAAAATAAAACATATCAAAACTTATGGGATGCAGATGAAGCTATACTTAGAGAAAATTAATAGTCTTAAAATACATATGTTGGAAAATAAGAAAAGCTGAACACCAATGATTATCTTGGGGAAGAAAAACAGCAAAGTAAAACCAAAGAGAGAAGAAAAATGAAATAATAAAGATAAGAGCAGGAATCAATGACATTGCAAAGAAATATACAATAGAGATTATTAATAACGCCAAAGATTCTCTAAAATAATAAGTACAAGTGGTAAATTCCTAACAAGACTCATCAAAATAAAAAGACGTACAAATCACTGATATTGGGTTTGAAAAAAGGAGCATTGCCTTAGTTCCTATAAGCATCACATGAACATATTATGAGGATATTATATTAACTGGCTTATTATGTCGGCTTCGGACTGTGAAGAGTTTTTACTTATCAACCCAAGCAAGTATTCAAGTTAATTTGCCAGTTATTTATTTTTTTCATTTAAATCAATAAACTGGCAGTTCAATTGCTAAACTGCTGTTTTGTTTTATTTTTAGTTTACTTAGAGTGACCCAGTTCTATAGTGTATGAAAAACCTTGTGCAAACTAACCAAATTGAGTCTTTATACATGCAAAGCAGAAGACCAGACATTGGCCTCAAAACTGTCCCAGACAATGGGCAGGTCTGCTCTAAGTCCCATTTGGATCCTTTCTGTTGAATTACTAATTTGTAAATTTCTTGAGTTGTATGTGCAGATAAGATCCCCTCTTATACACCTTTATATCCTGCATATAGTAGAATGAGTAGAATTTTGCCCAGTAGAGGCACCATATATACAAAAGCATAGAGGCAAGAAATGGCATAGTGTTCAGGGATGAGCACCTTTCCTGATTATAGAGAAGGTATTTGGGGGAGAGTTGAGGGGAGAAGCTGGTTGGACAAAGAGGCTGTGTCCCAACTGTGAACGCTCTTGGAACAGACATCTTCCTGTATAAGCTTGGGCTTTCTGGAGGTTTCCAAACATGGGTATGACAGCAGACTTGTAATCCCAAAAGCACAAAGCAGTCTTAGAACTTCTCAAACTAATGAATACATGTCTTATTTCCTTTCCTGGATTATAAGCAACAGACATATAGAGCCCTCAAAATATTTTTGATTGATAAATTGGTTGGTGAACTCTTCCTTTCACAAGTAAACAAGCCAACTTGCTTTATACAAAGTTCTGTGGAAGATCCACTTATCAGTTCTCTTCCTGCAGGAATTTATAATACAGTGAGGAGATGAGATTATGATTATACATATAATGTGGAAAGACACTAGACCAGGAATAAGAGGACATGAATTCTAGATACACCTCCTCCATTTTACTTGTTTATAAAACAAATATTTAATAGGCACCTATTATATGTCATGTCTGCTAGACTTTAGGTATACGGTGATGGGCAAATGGACATGGGCTTTGTTCTCATGAAACTTACATGTCCAGTGGAGGGCAAAGATATCAAATCATTATAAAAAGTCATTGAACAGCCTGGCCGGTTTGGCTCTGTAGATGGAGCATCGGCTTGCAGACTGAAGGGTCCCAGGTTCGATTCCGGTCAAAGGCATGTACCTTGGTTGCGGGCACATCCCCAGTAGGGAGTGTGCAGGAGGCAGCTGAATTGATGTTTCTCTCTTATCAGTGTTTCTAACTCTCTATCCCTCTCCCTTTCTCTGTGTAAAAAAATCAATAAAATATATTTTTTAAAAAGTCATTGAACAAATATGTATTGAGTATCTAATATGGGTCAGGTGCTTCAGACCATGATGAAAAAGCAGACAGAAATCTGTGCCCATTAGGGGTTTATATAGAAGTGGGAGAAGGCAGAATGTAAACTCTGGACATAATAAGTACTGAATGTGTATATATCTCATTAGAAGGTGATGGGTGTTAGGGGAAGAGTAACAAAAACTCAGGCAGGGTTTTCAGTAATGAGGAGGGGATAACAGGTAGGAGTTGAGATAGGTTGTCATATTAAACAAAACAGCAGAGTGGCGTCACTGAGAAGAGGAGGTATAAGAAAAAACTTAGAGGAGTCTAGGGAATTGACTATGCGGATATCCAGGGGAAATGTATTCTGAGCAGGGGGAACAGTCAATACAAAAATCCTAATATGGGAGCTTTCTGGAGTGTTCCAGGCATAGCAAGGAGGCCAGGTCATCTGAAGCCGGGGAAGCAAGGGGGAAAAAAACAGGCATAGAGGAAGCTGGTGTAGATTTTCTAGGGCCTTGTGGGTCATGGTAAGGAATTTGGCTTTTACTGAGAGAAATGGGGAGCCATTGCAGGGAGTTAAGCAGGAGTGGAATGACCTGACTTGCATTGTAACAGGATGACTAGTTTCATGTTACAGCCAGTAACTAAATCATGACGGGTGTGTCCTGAGAAGGGATAAAAGGGGACCAATTTGATAAAATGTCTGTGTGCTCTTGGGCCTTTAGTTTCACCAGCCCTGGTGCCCCACTAGGTCATCACCATGGTGAGGACTTCGTAGCAGGCTGTGGGCACATGCACAGGCTGTAGAAAATTATTCTTTGGTAACAATGCAGAATGGCATATAATCCAGTGCCTGATTATAGTTACCCACCGAAAGTGTTTTTGCAATTAAAGCACACATTCTTAAAAAGAACGATGTTGTGCTTGGCTGGTGTGGCTCAGTTGGTTGAGTGTCGTCCCATGCACCATTAAGTTGCAGGTTCCATTCCAGGGCACATGCCCCAGTTGCAGGCTTGATCCCTAGTAGGGGGTGTGCAGGAGGCAGCCAATCCATGTTTCTCTTTCATTGATGTTTCTGTCTCCTTCTCCCTTCCTCTCTCTGAAATCAATAAATACATTTTTTAAAAAAAGAACAATGTCATCGGGCCTGAGATTCACTCCTTTGGTGGGAGCATTGTTCTGTACACCAAAAGGTTGCTGGCTGGATCCCAGTTAGGATGTGTACTGGAGGCAACTCACATTGGTGTTTCTATCAGTCCCTCGCCCTCCCCCTCTCTCTAAAATCAATGAACATATCCTCAGGTGAGGATTAAAAAGAAAAAACAATATTACACAAAAGGGATGGAAATTGGTTCTTGGGGAACAAAAATCTTTCTCTATGTATAAAGCACAGATTACATACGTTACATAAACAGATATCTAGTATATTTGCAGTATTTTAAATTCATGGGGAAAACATCTAGAAAGGATTTTTGGGGGGGGTCAGGTGGGGGGCGATAAGGGTGTGATCATGAAAAAAAATTGGAAAATGCTGACTTAAAGGAAGGGTGAGAGCAGCAGGAAGGTCGCTGAGCTGGATGTTAGGAAGCTGCAGCTGAAATCAGCTCATTAGCTTTGTGCGGACTTGGACCACTCGCTTCCCCTTTCAAGGTTTCAGGCTCTTCTCAAATATGAAATAAAATGTGAGGCTGAACGGGCTCTTGGGTCTTCTCCAGTGCTAACAGTATGTGGAGGAATTGAGCTGGGGCTTCCATCAGTTACAAACACCTGGTTCTGGAACCGGTGGTAATTTATCAGGTATTTGGACCCATCAAACCTCAGTTTTCAATAAGATGAGGGACTAGTGTCAATGGTCTGCTTCTGGCATTTCTTCCCTTATCTATTCTTTGAGTTAGAATTCTATATTCTTTGTTAGAATTCCCAAAATCCATAATTCTAGTTCATTCCACAAGATTTCTGGATACAATATTGAAGCTAAGAGTACAATAGAGTTTTGTCACACTGTTCACCAAATGCTTTGAAACCTGTCAACTGGAGTTGCATTGCTTCTCAATTTTCACATGATTTCAAGATATTAAAGTCCTTTTACAGTTCATCTGGGTCATCACTTCAAAGGGAAAGATGCATGTGATGTGGTGATGAGAAGTAGGAATTAGCAGAACAGAGCTGCAGATTGAAAAACGAAGAGCCTGTATATGACATCTGCATAAGACATCTCCTAGGCAAATTTGCACACAGTTCTTTGCTGCTTATGCCAGACCTGGGCCAGTTGTGAGAAGTAAACCTTGAATAGTTTATTCTGTGACCATTAGGGTTTTAGTTTATCTTCCTGGCCTTCCTACTACTACTTAGTAGTCCCTTAATAACAGAGAACGTATCTTCTAACTCACCTGTTTAGTGCTCAGTTCAGTATCCTGTTTATAATAAAATCTTAGTGAATGTTTGCTGACTGTGATGATCACCCAGATTGAAGAGGAAAAAATAAAACCTGAAGCCATAAATCTTGGAGCCCCTTCTTTTTGGTGGTTGTACTGATGTGCCCGTAGACCAGAGCATTATCTTTTTTTCTTCTGCCACTTGATCACCTAGTGCTATTTCCAGATAAGAAATGCAAATAGAGTTTAGTACCCAACTGGAGTACACATAACTCATTTATCATTGGGTATCCATACTCAATTGTTTTGTTTTGAATTCGGCTGTAAATAGATATTACCGTTGTGAAGAACTGAATTGCAGGACCGTCTTGACTGTTGTCAACATTTGAGGGCAATTGGAAGAAGGAGCTTCTATTAGTGACAAGTAGTAAAATATTCAGAATTTTAATGTGGACGTGGAAGAAACTCAATTCAACCTCTAGTAGATCCAAAGAATTGAAATTACTGGCAATAAGGAAAACCCCAGAGTGTAGTTGAAGTGCCCTTAGGGATGAAAGAGTTAACTGAGTGTGTAAGCTTTATCTTGTGGCCAATGGACTTGTGCTTTGCTGAGTAAAGTCTCCGGTAAATGATTGTTAGAGACCTGTCATCGATAGTGGCTGCTAGTTTCTGTGTTTCAAAAGCCTGTTGACTCTTCTGCAAGGGAGTGCAGCATCCTCTATCTCTTTACCCACTTGGGTTCTACTCAGATCTGCTTGCAAAAGGATCCATGAGCTACGAAAACATGAATGATGAAGACTATAGCACCACTTATGACACCGTCCAAACAGAGACGGTGTATGAAGTTCCAGACCAGCCAGCAGAAAATGAAGGTCCCCTTTATCATAACATCCATGAAGACTTGAGCTCAGAAAACAATTTATATGCCACTGAGCTGGAAACCCATGACTATGAATCTGTATCAGCTTATGCTGTCGGGAGTGAGGAAAACAGCTTGGCTTTTTCCCAACCAGAAGAAGAAGGCTACTTCCCGTTTCTGGCGATATGTCCTCCGGCCCCGTATCCTCAACCAGGTGAGCCCCAGGAGGATGGGAACATCTCAATGGAAGAATTATACTCACCAATTCAGGACCAGGAGACGACCCCAGAAGAGCCACAGGAGAACAGACGCATGATGGAGGGGAACCTGCCTTCTCCTTCAAGCTTCACCGTCCAGACGCGCAGTGAATATTCCCTCACCGGCTATTCTGCTGCCAATGATTTAGAAGAAGACGAATCAGCTTCCACAAACCCCGAGATCTTCCTCTTTGTGAAGGTAAGGCTGCCTCTGACGGGCACACCTGCACTTGCAGGTGGCATAGTTGGTGCTTCATTTTGCTCTGAGTGACCAGGAAAGGATGCGTGGAGTCAGGGTCCTGGGATCTCACTATGTAGTCAAGAGGAAGGCTCATTAAATCCGTCATTCCAGGGTTCACCCGGGAAGGCTCAGAGTTGCAGGACTGGAATGTGAATGTAAAGCGAGTGTCTAATCATTGACTGCTGTATACGATGGGCAAAGCGATTTTTAAGGGTTGACGTATGAGTGAGCGGAAATTGCTGCTGAAATCACTACCTTGTGACAGACCTGAAGTACATTCTCCCAGCTGGTAAATTTCCTTCAGCAGCATGATTTTCAAAAACAAAACCAAGGCTTGTGAGAGAAAGTCAAATCCGCTGGCCGGTGCTGGAGTTTCATTCTTAACGTTTCTAAGGTTACAGGTGCTTCAGATAAATGGTCAATAAATGTTACCTCTGTCACTGAGCTTGCCCTTTTGGTACCAATCTAACAAAAATACCTGATTAAATAAAACCATTGCTGTAGTAGTAAGACACCAATTATCAGTGTTAATGTTTAACGCTTATGATATTTAAGCAAAGAACTTTGGCAATCTTTGTATCAGACTGGTATGTGATAAAGATTATGGCTATGAATATTATAAAAAAACACTCCAGGAATTGATTAATTTAAATACGATGGAAAACATTTTTCACAACATTCACCCCCCCACAATATTCATATTTACATGTTTTTTACATGTGAAGGCAACATATTAGAAATATTACTGTATATTTTTAAATATATTTTTATTAATTTCAGAGAGGAAGGGAGAGGGAGAGAGAGAGAAACATCAATGATGAGAGAGAATCATTGATCGGCTGTTTTCTGCATGCCCCCTACAGGGATCAAGCCCGAAACCGCAACCCAGGCATGTGCCCTGACCAGGAATTGAACCGTGACCTCCTGGTTCATAGGTTGATGCTCAACCACCGAGCCACACTGGTCAGGCAATACTACTATTTTTTTGCTAATAAAAATGATTACTCTACGAACCTACAATTCTCCAGTTTACAATAATTTCTCTTCTTTCTGGTTTCCAAGAACTCCTCTGGTGAAACACACTTTATTTACTAATTGAATGCATTGTTATTTTCTACTCTGTACTTTCCCCTAGTGGTTTTGTGTGTAAATTGTATCTTCTTTATTCTACCACAAGGTCTTTTAAAAAAGTAACTAGCAGAGTGTTTGACTCATATTTAGGTACCCAACAAACCTTCTTGTATTATACGGAGCATTTGTGGGGGAAAGGGAAAGACAGGGAGGACTCTTGCTGGGGATAAGGACACGTATGTAATAACTTAATCAATAAAAAATTTTAAAAAAGAAAGCAATGGGGTTCTGGAGACAGACTCCCATGTGGCTGAATTTGGTGAAAAGAGGAGTGAGGCGAGTGCTGTGGGTATTCTGGGGGGCAGGGACCTTGGAGCCGGTGCCTTCCAGCCCCCATATCCACATCGCCGTTGCATCCATTTCCAAGAAAACCTCATTTTTAAACGTGAGGATGAGGCCTATTTGTTCTCAGGACAGAAACACCCATGCAATAGGCAATCATCCTCATCATTGTCTTGGTACCAAGACAATTTTTTGTAAGTTTGGCAAAGTGTTGATTTCACCACAAATTAGCCTGTCACTGGTGTTGAACCAAACAGAAGTTGAAGGAAAAAGAGGTGCTGGCATCTCCAACTGGTACCGACAACAGGAAAAACAGCAGGAGAGCAACGTGTGATTCCTAAATTATTTATGATCCATGGTACCATAAAGCACATATTGGATTTATTACTTTTTATGTTTATATTCTTTTAAAAGAATATGTTTCATTAATTATTTTTATTTCAGAGAGAAGAGGAGAGAGAGAGAAAGAGAGAGAGAGAGAGAGAGAGAGAGAGAGAGAGAGAGATATGATGATGAGAGAAAATCATAAAATCATTGGGCTGCCTCCTGCACATCCCCCACTGGGGATTAAGCCTGTAGCCAGGGCATGTGCCCTGACCGGGAATTGAACTGTGACCTCCTGGTTCATAGGTCAACACTTAACCGCTGAGCCACACCAGCTGGGCAGTTTACTTTTTTTAAAAAAATAGAATTATGTTAACTAATATGTTACAAAATGCACCATAGACCTCAGCTCCTATGTGTGGCCTCCTTTTTAAGGATATTCAGCAGAACTTGTAAGAAGAGGGGCAGTTAGAATCCCTGCTTCTATGCCCCTCATCCTCTCTGCAGATCTTTATTACATTGCATATAAACATAATATATGAAAATGTGTAAAACAGGCTGTTCTGCTTGCATGGGAGTGGAGAGTTTCCTCCTCTTCGCAAGACCGCAGCGCACGGGAGCAAAGAATTTTCAGTAACTACCAGAGGCTCGTCCTGAGTGTAACCTGCTCAGGCTCCTCTTCCTCCCAGCAACCCAGAGTGCGTGCAGAACCCCCAAATATGATGGGGCTCAGGTGTGTGAGCCACCTCCCTAGTGGAACTTGTTACTGTACAGTCCTGGGGTTTCTTCTCCTGGGCTGTGCTAGTGTAGACCGTGTGGGCTGTGTCTACACCTGTACTCATTTGTGTATGATGTTCCCACCGGTTCTGGCATCTCCAACTGATACTGGCGACAGGAAAAACAGCAGGAGAGCAATGTGTGATTCCTAAATTACACTGACCAGTCAGTGAAAATGTCACACAGGCTTGTAAGTCTAGGTACTGAGGGTCAGCCATTTCAGGGTGTTGGCCAAATACTTAATTAAAACATTTATTATATTCAGCAGATAGTTATCATGATTTATTTATTTATCTTGATTTATTCATTCAGCAGATAGTTATCATGCCAGGCCCTGGGTTTACAACCATGAAGAAAACAAGGTCCTAACTCCTATGCACTTCATGTTATAGTGGCAGAGACAACTGATGGATAAATAAATAAGTAAATATCTATACTAGGGACCCAGTTAACAAATTTGTGCACCTTGAAAGGAACTGTGGGCTGTGAGGCTGTGGTGGACACAGGGGCGGATCTTGACCCATCCTCCATGCCCCCGCCCGGCCCCTCCCGCCACAGCCCCTGTCCCCTGTCTGCTGGCAGCTCTGCTCCTGCTGTTGCCACTTGCATGCGCTGACGGCACCTGCTGCCAGCGCGGAGCTATTGGGGCTGAAGCTAGCAGCGAGTGTGAGCAGTGACTGCTGCCCTGATCACCCCTCAGGAGCAGAGGGAGGTGGAGAAGCTCTCAGGGGCAATCGGGGCCAGCAGCTGACATTCTCACCCTCTGACAGCACCGATCGCTTGGTGCCAGCGCCAGGCACCGGCGGTGGGTGCGAGTGGCAGCTCCAGTGCCGACAGTGGGTGTGAGCAGGGCCAGTGCCAGCAGCAGGTGCAAGCGTCTGGCAGGACCGCAGTGCATGGGAGCAAAGAATTTTCAGTAACTATCAGAGGTTCACCCTGATGACAGCAACCAGAGCCCTGACTTGGTCTGGTGCCCTCGCTCACCTGCTCCACCATCCTGCCGCAGCCAATGCCTGTCATGTTCCGCGCTCTGCTGCCTGCTGCCGATGCCTGCCATGTTCCGTGTGTGCCCTCTGGTGGTCAGCACACGTCATAGTGACTGGTTGTTCAGTTGTTCAGTTGTTTGATTGTTCTACTGTTTGGTCTATTTGCATATTAGAGTTTGATAGATAGATAGATAGATAGATAGATAGATAGATAGATAGATAGATGGATGTCCAATGGTAGCAGTGCCATAAAGAAGCATAAATCAGAATAATGAGTAGATTATTTTCCTATTGCTGCCTCAACAAACTACCACAAACTTACTGGCTTGAGACAACACAAATCAATCTCTTATAGTCCTGGAGGCCAGGAATCAAATTGAGTTTTATGGAGCTAAAATCAAGGAGTTGGCAGGGCTATGTTCTGGGAGCTCCAGGGGAGAATCTGCTCCTTTCCCTCCTTCCCTGCTGGGGCCTACCTCCTCCTCACTTGCCCACAGCACAGCATCTCCCCACCCCCTCCTGCTTCCATCTGACCTGACCCTCCTGGGACCCTCTCATAAGGAGCTGGTGATTAGTTTGGGCCCACCAGGATCATCCAGGGCAACCTTCCCATTTTAAGCGTCTTAATTTAATCACATCTGCAAAGTCCTTCTGCCACAAAAAGTAACATTCATGGATCCTGAGAATTAGGACATGGGTGAGTTTGGGAGTCTTCATTCATCTTTCCACAATGGGACTGAGTGCTGCTGTGTAAGGGAATAAGGAGCAGCGTGCCTGGACTGGGGCGAGGGAGGGAGGTGAGATGGCAGCAGATGAGGCTGGAGAGGTGGAGGTGGGCACACATCAGACAGTGAGGCTGGGAACTAGGAGGGCAGTCTTTCGTGGCAAACTAGGGAACTTGGATTTCATCCTGAAGAGTAATAGGATGTGTGGAGGAGGATATCATGAGCAAAGCAATGTGTAAGGTGATCGATAAGCCAATTAGAATTTCCATCTACCCTGTAGAGCGTGACCATACAGACATCCACCAAGCTTCCTTTCTAGATTAGCCCAGGTATGTTTAGATCTAAATGCATTGTGTATTAAAAAAAAAGTTCATTAAGTTATTTTTCATTCAACTGTCTGGATAGGGCCAAATAGATCTTTGGCTTCATACAGACAAATTTCTGGAAAAAAGTTAGCAAGTATGATATTGATTTATATATTGTGTGTTTGTATATCTAGTTACTTGTATTGGGGGGACATATGGATTCAACACAAAGTTTGGGTTGAGGTTGTGTCAATATAGTTTCCAATAAAAAAAGTTCGTGTGGCTGGCCTACCTGGATGGACTACTCGGAAGTTGCACATTTAGGTGTTTGGAAATAGCTGGAGCCCTGGAAGGGTCTTCCTGTTCCATGGTCGCTAGGAACACCTGCTCTAATGTCAGTCATAAGGACATGTGAACGCACATCCTTG